CAATTATATAGCTTGGTTCATAGACTATTCTTGTCTACAAAGGCAAAGACTGAAGAAAGATCAATAATGTTGGGAAAAGTCAACTATTTCCTCATTTAAATGAAAGAAAAGAACTAGGGGTTTGGATTATTGGATACATACACATATATACATATATGTAAATGACACACTATGTCCTTTGTTCAGTCATGTTTTGCTCTAAATCACGCTATTTTGCACTTAAATTGCTGGGACAGAATGAAGGTATATTATTAAGTATATTTTTGACACTGAAATTTTTAAGGGAAAACTGTCTTGAAAGATAAACGAGAAGACCTCCTGGCGTTAACAAACTGAAATTTCTCAATGCCATCTGCATCTAGCCTTCCAGATACAGATGAGGAATTGCCAGAAAGAGATATGTGTGCACAAGATCCTTCTATTCCCCCAAACATCCAGCTCCATCTAAAACTATTATAGCTAATACCTCTGGCACAATACTTTATCATGTTCCATAATTCTTCCATCAAGTCCACAGTCAACACTTTTAAGGTGAGAATGATTACACAAATTTTGTATTATAGCTTGATAATACGTGTAATGAAGTTTAAGTGTTATTTAATATGCTCAAGGCAAGGTTGATGGACAGTGTTGGACACTGGGACTCTAGGTATGTATGTAAACTTTTACATTAGCTCTTCTGGTAATAATTCCCCTAACATCTTATTGCTATGTAACTTGTCATATCATACAGACTCTTAAAGGCATGCCATAGTAGAAAACTTGTACCTTACTTCTACCAGTTCCTTACAAAGAATTTCTTTAAAGAGAATTTATTTGAGGGGACTTCCTTGGTGGCGCAGTGGTTAAGATCCGCCTGCCAATGCAGAGGACACGGGTTTGAACCCTGGTCCAGGAAGATCCCACATGCCGTGGAGCAACTAAGCCCGTGCACCACAACTACTGAGCCTGTGCTCTAGAACCTGCGAGCCACAACTACTGAGCCCACGTGCCACAACTACTGAAGCCCATGCATCTAGAGCCTGTGTTCCACAACAAAGAGAAGCCACCGCAATAAGAAGCCCGCACACCACAACGAAGAGTAGCCCCCCCTCGCTGCAGCTAGAGAGAAAACCCACACGCAGCAACAAAGACCCAACGCAGTCAAAAATAAATAAATAAATTTATTTTTTAAAAAAAGAATGAAATAACGCCACTTGCAGCAACATGGATAGACCTAGAGGTTATCATACTAAGTGAAGTAAGTCAGAAAGAGAAAGACAAATATATGATAACACTTACACGTGGAATATGAAATAGGATGCAAATGAACTTAGTTACAAAACAGAAACAGACTCATAGAAAACTTATGGTTACCAAAGGGGAAAGGCAGTGGGGGAGGGATAAATTAGGATTTGGGGATTAGCAGACACAAACTACTATATATAAAATAGATAAAACAACAAAGTCCTACTGTATAGCACAGGAACTATATTCAATATTCTGTAATAAACCATAATGGAAAAGAATATGAAAAGGAATGCATATATGTAAAACTGAATCACTTTGCTGTACATCAAAAACTAACACAACATTGTAAATCAACTATACTTCAGTTAAAAAAAAAAGTGATATGGCCAGTTATAAAATTAACTGATTTATACTGACTTCACTCTGTACCTTTTATAGTTAGAATTTACCCACCAGAGACCAATATTCAACTTCTTCTCTTTCACTGTTAAAGAAAGTTAGCCTTTAATGAAGGAAAGCTAGAATAAACATCTCTCCCCACATTTCACACACACACTAATACCAATAGCACCACTACAGCAACCCACATGCCACGATAGCTTTTGTAGACACTGTGTGTGTTCCTGAAGAGATGTATGTAAAACTGAAATCCAGTCAAGTGAATTATTTCAAATGCAGGAAGAATCAACTGACATTGACTAGGTAGAATCAGCTGACATGGGTGACAACTGAGCCATGGACACATGTGAGCCAGCCAAGGAGAAAAAGGTTTATGACATGATGCAGGACGCTGAATTCCTTCAGTGTCCTGGAGAAGCTTGCAGGTAGGGATCCCAATGAGACCATTCGAAATACCATGGGCTCCCTGGCCTCCCAGGCCAAGAAGGATGCCAAGAAGGACAAGAAGGATGAACACAAGAACTAAGACTGGAGGGAAATGAGTAGCAGAGTCTGCTCATTGGGCAGCATATGGTGGGGCAGGATATAGGATTAGATATGTTATCTGTAACCACTACAACCTAAATAAAAAGCTTGGCAACTTTTTTTTTCAAAAAAAATTTTTTTAAACAGAAGCTAATCTTTAAATAAGTATTACATTATATTGTATACTTTTATTAAAATTAAGAATTCATGGGACTTCCCTGGTGGTCCAGTGGGTAAGACTCCCTGCTCCCAATGCAGGGGGCCCGGGTTCGATGCCTGGTCCAGGAACTAGATCCCACATACCACAACGAAGATCTCAAGGGCTGCAACTAAGACCCGGCGCAGCCTAAATAAATATTTTTTTTAAAAAAGAACAAGTTCAGCTTCATGCCCCTGTTCCAGACCATAAAAAAAAAAAAAAAGAAAAAAAAAAGAAATCATTTATAAACCAAACAAGCACATATTTTTTATAAATTCTAATTTTTGCATACTAACTGTTCTTAGAATTAAGGAATCCAAGAACTAAATAGAGTAAGTGGGAAAGAGGGACTCAAAAGAAATACAGGATTATCCACGACCCCATAGAGATGTGATATCAGTCTTCCAGTATTATTTTCCTGTTCAGCTGTACCATTTGCACATGTCTAGTTACATCACTGCATCTATATAACCCAAATTCACACAAGCCCTCTCTAGCCACCTTGCACTTAATGAAACTGCTCTAGCCACTCCAATATTAGGCAAACTCTTACACATTTAGAACCATGACATTTGCGCAACCAGTGCTCTACCAAGATCCTGTCAAGGGTCCTTGCTTCTTTTCAAAGGCTAATCTGGTGAAGACACTAACTCTCTCATGTTCCCAATTAGAGTGAGAAGTTGTTGTCATCATTAATGTGATAGGTAAGGGAACAGACTGTAATTCTAGCTCCACAATTTACTGACTGTGTGGTGAGTTATCTAAATTCTCTATAATTCACTCACTCTACAAAAGGAGCATAACTGAACCTGGAGTAAAGAACTGTCATGAGAATCAAATGAGAAAATACATGTAAAGCTATTAGGACAGTTGCTGGCGCAGAGCAAGCACTCAATAACTACTATTATTATTATTGTTACAGCTCTGAAATCCAATTTCACAAATTTTGGCATCTGGTGCTATGTAATAGTAAAGAAAAAGATGACTAAAATCACTTTTAAACAGTGATTACTTTAATCCATCCCTTTTAAGGGCAATTATTCTAATATTTTATTTACCAAATAGATATCAAGTTTATTTTTAAGTCAATTGTTCTTTCTCTTATCAGTTCTGATCACAAAATGATAAGCCTGTCAACAATAAATGAGAATCTATGTTCTAAAAAGGTCAAGAATAACAAAGAACACTAACAAGTCTAAGCTCTGAGATTTCTCCTCTTAGAATGACTGCTTGAACTTAACGCCTTTTACTCTCTTCATATTTTACAGGGACCACATGGCTTACTACTAGAGAACTTAAATAGCTAACAGAATATAAAGAACTCCAGAGAAAAATCATTCAGTTTTACCCCAAAATGAATTGTGATGATTAAGAATATTAAAATATCAGTGTCAAAATACATTCAATTCAGAAGTTCAAATTATGTTAACACAACTATCACAAACAGAATAGACATTAATCAACAATATCTAAAGCACAAAAGAAAGTTCAAAAATTGTTTCAGTATCTTCCCAATGCAGACTTTTTAAATGGAAATTAACACAGTCTGTGTCTAACATTGCAATGAAAAATTTACTGAAAGTGAATATTACACTTATGAAGAAAAAATAACTGGAAAGGTGTTATGTTGCCCTTTATTCATTTTTCGATGTATAATCTATTTGGCCATCCTAAACCAAATTTAAGAATTATATGTATGATTCACGCCCCAAAATTTCTAAAAGCAAATCACCAAAAGACTGCTTGAAAAGCAACTGCAAATGAAACGAGGTTTTTCCTAAGGTGTCTGAGAACTAAAATCAAAATATTCTAAGGAAAGGATGACTACCATTTCCCTTTAAGCTTCAGTAAAATGTCAAAAGAACTTCCAGGACTCAAATCTCCTAGAAGTCTGATGTGAGGTCAAAGTTGTCTCAATGACAGGAAAGTCAATAGATGCCAGATGACTAAATGAAAAGCTACCAAAAATACTTCTAAGCCCAGCAGTAATTCCAAAAGCATAATACGACTGTCCAGATTGAAAAGATGAAAATATTATTACTAACATACTTCGCAACAAAATAATACTGACGATAATAACAATTAACAATATTATACAGCATATTAAGCATCTCACAGTTCTGCCTTCCTCAACATTTATTTATTCAATTCATTCGGGGACATTTTGGAATAATGAAAGTAACATGGATTCTCAAAGAGTGATCTACATCTAAAAATAAGGTTCAAGTATACGTTCTACAGTTGATGTTCTTTTTACTGTAAACCAAATCCGCTTCTTTATATTAGAAAAAAAATCTACAGGTCTGTTTCCAAAGATCTCATAATAGTGTTCACTGGTGATTAAAATGTTATTTTTAATCCTTGCATTACCTCACAGCTAAAAATGTTAAGATACCACACCCAATGTGTCTTTTTTTTCCCCCCCGGCGCGGGTGGGGTGAGGTGGTGGGGAATACGAGATGCGGGCATTCGAAACTACACGTCAACGTGAAAGGTTAGTTCCCGGGAAGGACTGGGAAAGGCGCGCAGGTACCGGGCGATCGGCGGCCGCGTCGCGACGGGCGAGCGCAGGCCTCGGCCTCTGCAGCCTCCCTCCGCCGCCAACCGCAGGAGAAGTGGCCCTGACGCGCCACCCGGGGCTACTCACCGGCCGCAGCGCTGACCAGCAGGACGGTCCACAGCAGCGAGGGCACCCGCCGGGGCCGCCGCAGCGACGGAGTCATCCCTGGGCCAGCCAAGAAGCAGGAGAGCAGAGAAAAGAAATACGGAAAGTGAACGAGGGCGGAGAAACGCGGCCGGGAGGCTAGTCCTTGCTCTCGTCGGACTTATCCGGCCCGTATTACAATGCAGTTTGAAAGGACAAATGGCAGATGAGAGGACCGAGCTGCAGAGCTTTCATTCCGCTGCCGAAATTCCCTTCATTTCTCTCCCTTGCGGCTGCGGGTGTTCATTCGCCCAGGACAGGGTGCCTCGGCCCCCCAAAGTGAAGGCATGTCTGTGGGGAGAAGCAAGGAGACAAGAAGAAAGCCCCGCAGTTATTTCCCTCGTAGTTTCACGATATCAAAAAAATATCCAGGTCTGGGAGAAAACATATCCAGGGTGCCGAAGGGTGGGGAGCGGGGATTCGAGGAGCGCCGAGGATCAGCACAAGTTCCCGACTGCCGGGAAGGGCGAAACCGGGCGGGCGGCGGCGGCGCCCGGCGGCCCGAGGCGCATCGCCTGTGCTCCGGCAGGGCAAGATTCCTTTTAAGTTTCGCTTCGGTGCTTCCCTTACTCCGATTTCGAGCAAAGCAAATCCTCTTCCTCGACTGGATCGAAAAAGGTGCTGGCCTCCATGGACAAACCCACGGCCTTCACGCCTTCGCGGAACAATCCTACGAGGGTCCGGCAGGTCCCGGCGGGAGCGCTGAGGGGCGGTGGGAAGCGGGGGAGGGGAGGGGTCCTCAGGCTGGGCCCCGAGCTCCCCGAAACAGCGGGCGGAGGGGAGGTGCCGGGAGGCTGCCCTTTCTAGCCCTCCCGGGTGCGCTCCTCTCTCTTTCTCTTTTTTATTGCTGCCGCTCCATCTTGCCTGAGGTAAATTCCACTGTGAAAGCCTTGTCTTCTCCCGTCAATGGCTCCTCTGAGCGAATCACAACCCCCCCCTCCCGAGGAAGCCGCCGCCGCCGCCGCCGCCTCCTAGCTTTCCCGCAGCTCTAGGCTCCGGGCGGAGCTCGGGCGTCGCGGGCCGAGGGTGGGGGGCGGCGGGAGGGCGGATGTAGGTGGCTGGGGAGGGGGTGGGCAGCAAGGCGACGAGACACCCCGCGCCCCCCCGGGAAGCACTTCCAACGGCTCCGGGCAGACCAGACACAAAGGGGGGAGTCGCCGCAGCTGCCAGTCTGCGGCGCTCCCGGTCACCGGAGTCGCCCCGCCTCCGCCGCCGCCTCCGCCTCCTCCTCAGTCTCCGGCTCTTCCCGGCCCAGTCTGTCTCGGGCCCGTGGTGCAGCGCGGGCGTCGGCCGCAGCGGCGGCGGCGGCTGCGGCTGCAGCGGCGCGACAAGGCCGCACTGCGCCTGCGCGCTCGCGGCCCCGCCCGGCCCCGCCCCTCACTCCAGGGCTAACTGAGGCGGACTCCGCGGCCCCAGCGCAGCCGCTGAGGGCAGAGCACGGCGGGGCCGGCAACCCGCAATGGGCAGCACTGGCCTTTCTTCTTCACACACCTTCCAGACGTCCACGCTTGGGATTTGCGTGCTTAAGAGAGGGCGGCTGCATGTTTTGTCTAGCCTTTGGCAAACTCTTCCGAGCTCGGTGATTTAGCCTCTGACTCCTCTGGGACTCGAATAAAGCCTCGAAGGACAGAACAACCCCCTTTGTTTCTTGGGGCCCGAGCCTGCCTGTCCGTAGCCCAAAGAATTGGGAAGGACCCACCTTTCGCAGAACCGAAGACCTTGGCCTCCTCGGGCTACCCTCACTGACTCAAACAAAAGCCGGAATTTGGAAAGACCACCCCCTTATATTGATATTTTTGCTCTAATCGGTGTCCTGCTTCCCTCAAGCACCCATTACCGTAACCCTCCTTAGCTAACAGGAGTACTGAACATTTGAAAGGATGCAAAGCCAGAAAGAACTCATTCTTTTACAATTGTATTTGCTGTCCCGCTGTCTGTGCATATCTGTCTATGCAGCGCTGTTTCCACTTCGAGGGTGGGCCTTTATTCACAAAGGCTGGGGGCCTTAGGGGCTTTTTAGGGCATTTGAAAGGAAATTTGCGGTGAGGAGTCGCCGCGTCATGGTAAAGAGTGGGGTTGGGTCTACGCATCCGAGGAAAAGAGCAGGTCTTGCTGGTACAGAAGCTTCCTTTGAATCTGGAGAGGATCTGTTTAGTAGGGGTTTTTTTGAATTGCAATACCCCAAGCAACCGGGATTGGGGAAGGGACTCCTTCCCACCTCCCCCACCCCCGCCCTGAAGCTCTTACACACTCCTGAGGGATCTGGTCGACTTGGGTGGGATTTTGCTGGGGCACGAGGGAGAAGGTGACGTGCTTGGCGCCATGATCATCGGAAGTCTGGGTTTAATTCTTAGCTGCGAGGTGGAAAATCTGCGTGGGAGGGCGATTTTAGAGGTGAAGTCTAGCCTTCCCTTCTCCGTCTAAGCAGTAGGGTTATTCTGAAGACTGGTTTTGCTGGTCTTTCATTGTGGCTAAGGGCAGTTCAAAGATACCTTCAAACATACACACCTGAAGTCATACTATTTGCTTGCTTATTCAAGTCCTCTTTTATCTCTTTATCTGAACTTGATGTAAATAAATCTTCACATTCCTTACACTAGTTGCTGTTATCATACTAAATATCTTATAGGGGTTGTGGTAATACCAGCTCAGAATTCTCAGACTCTTTTTAGTGGAAATATTTTTATACTGTTTACCCTTCAGGCAGAGAGAAGTAAAATCCCTTAAAAAGAAAAAAAAAGCATATACTTTGATTCACTAGCTTTATTACTATATATGTATATGTATGTATATATATATATATATATATATATATATTTTTTTTTTTTTTTTTTTTTTTTTTTTCCCAAAA